ACCAACGAGATGCCATGAAGGTGGGGGGGTGGGGTAGGGTTTGGGTTTTGGGGTGGGTGGTTGGACCCGGTTGGGGGTGGGGGCGTTGACGCGGCAGGTACGAGCTGTGGCGGCGCCGCCGCGCGTACATGTAGATCGACAGTGTGGAGCTTGGCGTGTTCAAGATTATGTATGTGTGTAGCTGCGACATGCAGAGTCCCTCCGCAACCACCCTCCGACAGGACGCGGTGGAGATGGCTGTGCTGTCCCACATCCGCCACCCGGCGGTGGTGGGGGTCTACGGCTGCTTCACAGACATGGTGGAGGAGGCAGGAGACCCAGGTGCGCCGGTTGGGCAAGCGCGAGGCGCTTGCCGCCCCGGGAGGAAAGGCGGCGGGCATAGAAGGGGCCTGACGTGCTGCCGTTGTGCTCGCCAGACGCCCTTCCTGCACGCGCCGGGTGACTGGCGTGAGGGATGTCGCGAATGGGCGTCCCCTAGTTACACGCGCGCCTGCCGGCTCAGCCACAGCTTCCGCGCCTGGTTTCTCCCACCCCAACCCTTCCCCATGCCCCCCTCCGGCATGCCGTGTGTTTCTGCCCGCAGGGGCGTCTCCGCCGGCGTCGGCGCGGCTGCCGCGGTACCGGCCGCTGCGGCCCGACGACCCCCAGGAGGCGATGGCCTGCAGTATCATCGTGATGGAGGTGAGGTTCGAACTGGGTTCCCAGGGGGGGGGGCGATATCAGCATATTGAATGAGCGGTGGAGGGGGTGGGGAAGAAAGCTTGGCAGGGACAGGGAGGGGAGGGAAAGACGGAGGGGCAGGGAGGCTGAGGCCGATGCTGGGTTGCTGGGCGTGTGCCAGCCAACAGCTTTGCACAGCACTGCAAGTGTTGGTCGTGTGTGTTTGTTTTGTAGGGTGGGTGGGCTGGGCAGCCTAAACTGTGCGCGCAAGGGAGAAGGGCGCCTCGCTTGCTGTGGGTCGGTATTGGCTCGTCGTGCTGTGTACGGCACCACCCCCCAAAACGTATGGCGGGAGGGGCTCGCTCAGGCCCGCCGAGTCATGGCTAAGTGGGCCCTATGTCGCCCGGGGCTGCGGGCCTGCTGGCGCACTTGGGAGGACAACAAAACGGCACAGCTCGTGCGTAAGCGACTTGGGGATGTGTGTACGCTGCGTCGTTCATCAAACCCACACCCCTGCTGCGGCCGCTCCCCTTCACCACCCCTTCCCCTGCAGTACTGCGACCAGGGCACCCTTCGGGATGCCATCGGGCGCGGGGTCGTGCACGCACGCATGTCAGACAAGATGATCGCCATCGACATCCTCACGGCCGCTGAGGTCAGATAGCTACGACACAGCAGCCATCTGCTCCCGGCTGCGCTCAGATCCTGCTTGCGGGCCGCATTTGCGCACTCTGGGGAGCCGCTGCCGCACGACGCCGCACGCGTGCGCAGGGGCTGCCTCTGCCGGCCGCGGCCCCCCACCCAGCGGGCCACTGAGATGCCATCGCCGCGTCCGCTTGAGAACATGGGGGGCCCCTCGCAGGGGACTCCCTCAGACGCCCTCAGTGCTGACCTGGACATGCAAAGCAACCACATTTCACCTTGACGCACGTGTGCCTGAGGGCTGTTGGCTGGTGTGCCGGACGCCCCGCCTCTGACAGTTGGGACACTCGCGTTTCGCCTTTGGAACCCTGGTATTCGTCCCCGCAGATCCTGCTGCAGATTGCCAGGAGCATCGCGTTTGTCCACGAGCGCGGCCTGCTGCACTGCGACATCAAGGTGTGGATGTGTGTGTGTGTGTGTGTGTGTGTGTGTGTATGTGTGTGTGTGTGTGTGTATACGGGCATGGGTGCGTGTGTGCATGCGTGCGTGTGGGTATGGGGGGTGTGCACGTTTGTGTGCGTGCATGCACACGTGTGCGCGTGATTGGTGTTTGTGGGCCGTCTCGGAGCGGCTCTCATGCGCGCTTGTCTTGGAGAGAGAGACGGCGCAAGGAGGGCTGGGCACACCTGCGTCGGGCTTCGCTCCACACCCCGTCGTCGGCCGCCCTCGTCGGCCATGGCCCGCGGCCCCTGTGCGCGGTGCTGTCGATAAATGAAGGCAATGGCGCCCGGATCGCCTCCTGCGGTCTGATGCTGGTGGTTTTCCTTTGAGCTTGGCCGTGCTTACATCGATCGCCAGTGCACCCCGGTTCAAACGCCGCCGTCACGCAGACCGAAAACATCCTGATCAAAACCGACGTCAGCAGCAGCCTGGGCTTTGCCTGCAAGGTGGGTGTGAGGGCGGCCGGCCCTCAAGAAATGCGCGGCTGCACATGTCTGCGTTTTCACCTCGCCGCCTCGTCATCGCGACGTCACCTCTGTCAGCCCTGCAGACGCTGCCCGCACAGCAAGCGCTGCCACTGACGGCGCGCTGCACGCGCCCCAGTTGGCGCCCTGCACACGGGGCGGCCAGGCACGGGCTCCTGCGGCGGGGACCGACCAGCCCCTTCGACTGAATCGCTCGTTCGGCCGCCTGACCGGCGGTGCTCCGCTCCGCTCCTGCGTTTGCGCCCGCCCCTCCCCCAGCTGGCGGACTTTGGGCTCGCCAAGATGCTGAACCAAGAGTGAGCATTTCCCCCTCCTGGCCCCCAACCCCTCGCGCCGCCCCCCTCCCCCCCACCCTTCCACTACCACCCCCCTGCCGATAAGGATTCTGCCGGCACATGCATGTCCGTCCGGTGCATGGGACAGGAAAATTTCACGCCTGCGCTCACCTCTTAGTAATACTGTTTGCACCAGCTTGCCCTTCCTCTCCTCTTGAGTCACCAAATGAAAATAATTTGTCGCTTCGTTTAGTTGCTGGTGGTCGATTTGCACACCAGAGCACACGTCTGCCCTCAGCCGCCCCGCCCATCCATCTGACCATCCCGCCCGCACTGCCATGCACCCTCCTCAGGTCTTTCGTGCTCAACTGCAGCGGCGCCGGCACAATAACCCACAAGCCCCCTGAAGCGATGAGGGCCGGCACAAAGGCAAGAAGGGTGGCCGTTGTGCTGGATGATGCGCGGCCCTGGTTGTGCTGCGTCGAGGTCGGGCAGCTGTCTTTGCATGTGCCTGCGCCCCAATCTGGGCGTTAACTCGGATGGACGCAGCCGTTTGTTTGTGGGTATGGGAAGGGTTCGGCGTTTTCCAGACATGCGCTGGCGGGCTGCGGCCTTTCAACTCAACCGTCCTGCGTGCCGTCCTGCCGCGCCGCAGCTGACCCCCGCAGTGGACGCGTATGCTTTTGGCATCCTCATGTGGGAGGTGGGGGCTCTCGCCGCTGCAGTGGTGCTGTTGCTGCTTCTGCTCCTGCTGTGCGCGCGCGTGTGCACCGTTTGACCCGGCTGGATCCAATTTTGACTGCGCGTGGGCCACACACATGAAGCCTGAACCTTGAAGTTGCGTCGAGGGGTTGCTCTGTCATATACTTGTCCGTCCGCCCGTCGCCAGGTTTTGGGCGTGGTGTTTGTGGGGTCGAAGGACCCCCGCAACTTCTGTCGGTGACAATCTGACCCGCCCGGCCCGCCCCGCCGCACGCTTCACCCCCCTCCCACACCTCCAACCGCATGCCCTCCGCCGCCAATCCATCGCGTCGCTCACAGCTGTACACCGGCAAGAGGCCCTACTGCGGCATGCGCAGGGAGGAGGTCGTGGAAAGCGTCCAAAAAGGCCTCCGCCCCGCCTTCAAGGCCGCCACCCCCCAGCCCTACGCGCAGCTGGCAAGAAGCTGCTGGGACCAGGACCCCGCGGCTCGCCCGAGCATGCCCCAGGTCGTCTCGGCGCTCAAGGCGATGATCCGCGGCCTGGAGCGCGAGCCAGGGCCCGAGGCGCCGCGGACGCCGCAGCCGCGGCCGCCGCCGCTGCGGCAGGTGTCACTATCCGCGGCGAGGTGCCCCTGAGGTGGCGCAGGGCCAATGATGCGCGCGCGGGCCGTCGACGAGTGCGGCAGGGGCCCGCGGCGCCACGGGTCGCCCTCCCAAACCATTGCTATCCACCGCGGCGGCATGCGCCGCGCCCGCCCATTGGACACACGGGGGCTGGACGAGCCGGCGGCGGCGCCCCCGACTGCGCGCGCGGAGGCGGGGGCGAGCATTCCTAAGCAAGCCGCCAGCTGGCGGCGGCAGGCGCGTGCATGTGCCATTTGCCATATCGTCGGGTTGGGGCCACAGATTCTGCAAAGCCCATCCTTTTGTTAGGCTTTGGGGGCGCACGCTCAAGGACTGGTGCCCTGTTTCCCGCGTTGCTTACGGGCAGGGGGACACTACCACCACCACCAAAAAGAGTACACGCACACATGGAGTTGTGTGTGTGTATGCGTACTTGGAGAATGATAGGCTTTTGTGCAGTACCTCTTGCTCAGGCCCCCGGATGGAAGCAGGATTAATTGGAAGGAACACTTACCTCTGTTTTCATATTTGAACCATCCCGCACGATCCCCTCTACGCACCCCTTCCCCTGCCCTGCCCCCTTGCTCTCCCCCACCCCTTTCCTGCCCGCCCGTCTTCCGGCCCCTCCCTCGTCCATTTCACCACAGCCGTCGCGCTCCCGGCCGCGCCCCCCTGGCGCGGCGCAGCCATCCCCTTTGGCCCCTGCCGCCCCTGTTTTGCTTTTGCAGGGGCGCATGGGTGGGGCCCGCCCATCCAGACCGCGTCAAGCCGACCATGAGTCACCCCCAAGACACGTTCTGCACTCGAGGGATGCGGCAACGCTTGGTCCACCCCTAACCGCCACCAAGGCCCGAAAAAACGAATGCGCCGCCGGCCGCGGCGCCCAACAAGCCAGGCCCGCCGCGTGCTGCCAGCCTTGCACGAATAAGAGGGGGCCGCCCCAAGCGCGCGCGCGCGGGGGACGCACGAACGATCCCAGATGCTGTCCCGCCGCGCGCGCGGTTTGCTGCGCGCCGGCCGTGCGAAGAGGGCAGACCGAGTTGTGTCGCCCGTGATGGGTTTATTATGCACTGCCTCCTTCCCCCCAGGTCACCCCCAGGAGTCGGCGCCTGATGCCAGCCCCTGCCACGCGCGTTCGTGCGCCAGAACTGTCTTTCCACGCTTCCTTGCTCAGCTGCCCGCCTTCCCACCGTTGTCATCCGTCCTCCCAGAGCGGGGCACGCCCCGGCGCCTCGTCATCTTCCAAAAAACAGGCGCTGCCGGCGGCCCTGCAAAAGACCTCCTTGCAACCGTCAGAGGCGCGGCCGCGGCTTGGGACCCGCCCGGCGCGCCGGCTGCCAAATAAACCCCCGGACTAATAGGGCTGCACTGCGCGATTCTGGGGCCGGCTTGCCCCAAGCAGCTGCTTCGCCGGGCGGGGGCTGGGGGCGCTGCTTGTGATTCAGCGCCACCCCAGGACCCGAACCGCTGACGCCCCCTCGAGTACGCTAGTGTTTTCATGCCCAGCCGCGCGACGCCGTGAAAGCGGGCCGCACGCAGCAGTTTGGGCGCGCCTGCGTGGGCGTGCGGGCCCTTGCGCCGGCCGCACGCGTAAAACTGCAGCCCACGTGACCGCCTAGGCAGCCTGGCGCGGGTCGCTGAGGGACGCTGCAACCCTGTACGTAAGCACAGCACGCGCATGCGCTCCGGCGGCCCTGTCCTCGGCTACATAGTAGCTGCCTGGCAGTCGCTTTCCAAAAGAGCATCTTCCCTGGAACGGCTGCCCCCTCCCCTTCCAAGTTTGCTGCAGCGCACTGGCACTCCGCGCTTGCTGGTGCGGCTGATCTGATCTCACCAGAGCACACCGCTGCTGCGCATCAACGCGCCGCCACCTGTGCACCTATATGGCAGCCGAGCCTCCGCCGCCGCGGTGCGCGTGGCCCGCATGCGACCGGCAACGAGCTTTCAAGCGTCCGATTGTCGCGCACCACTGCAGGTTGGCAGCACTGGAACCTGGAACGCTCGCCTATTGCATGGATGTTTCAAACCGACTCGCCTCCGAGAGGCCCGAAACGAAGCGAGCGGGTGGCACCTGCCGCCCGCCGCCGCCCTGCAGATGAGAGCTGGGGCTCACACGCAACATTTGGAAGCTTGCGTGCCGGTCGAAACCGCAAGGCTGCACTTTGGAGGCGGTGGAAAGTTCACTTGCGGGCCCTGCGACGCGGCTGTGATTCTGGTGGGCGGCGTGGCTTCGTTTGAGCGGGCCCGTTTTGCCCCAACCAACCTCATGACCCACGTGGTTGTCGTGATCTGCGCAGAGCCAGGGCAAACTTGGTATTGCTGGATGGTACGTATGTATCTGGGTATTGTCGCGGCGCGGCGCCGCCGCTTGCTCTTGAAAAGTCCGAGCCAAGGCGGGGCTTCTGCTCGACCACCCGCCCTGCGTGGCGCGTATGTCGCGACAGCACGGCCCCCCTTGATCACGTGCAAGGGGGGTGTTGGGCCTTTGGCAGTGGGCCTTTTGCAGTAGGCAACCTGGAGGACATGCACACGAACACCGCACCACGTTTGATTTTTGGCATCTAGCTACCAGCGTCGTCCCTGACTGTGCCACTCGCCTGCTAGTTGCACAGTCGACGGGACGCCGGCAACTACGCATGTGCACCGTTGGTCCTGTGCTTTGAGCCTCACAAACACACAACCTTTTGCCGGAAAGGTCAAGGTCTCAATGGGAGCGCCGCGCTCCCCTCGGCGGACGGCTGCTCGAGTCCTGCCCTGCGCCGGGCACCGCTAAAGCTGCACGGCTCCGCGGCAACGCCAGTCTGTGCGCTTTGGAGAACGCAGCACTGCCTGCATGCTGCTCTACACACCACTTGTAGGCAGATGCAGCGAGTAGTGCCAACACCTTGCATTTTACAGGCCAACACGCTCTGCTGCCGGTGTTTGACACACGTGTGTACACGCCACCGGCGCAGATCACCCCGGCCGGCTTCACAGCACCCGCCTCAAAGCACCCAGCTCTGCACTCTGCTTGAGCCGCCCAAGCAAGCACCTTGGCATCCACACGCCCATTCCAATCCCGTCATGCCCCAGTGTTCCTCGGACATTTGTCATGTGTCAGCGTTAGCGGCAACTGGACGCGGCAGCAGCGCCCTCCGGTGCAGGCTGGGCACGCCGCGGTCGAACGCAACCCGTGTGCTCAGTCGGTGGGGAGCTAAATGTCCAGTGTGCGTGTGTATGTGAGTAAAAAGTGTGTATTGCCCTGTGAAACCTCAAGCGATCGCCAGCCCTGCTCGATCGCGAGGCCCGCGTGCCATGTGTGTGCACCAGTCAATCTTGATGCCACTCCAAGGTGCGCCCGCCACTTCCTGAAGGCTTCAACACAAAACACCAAGACTGGGATTGGCTCATGGCCACGACGAAATAGCATCTATCAGGATTGTTACACAGAGGGCTCTTGCACAATAACCGGTGGAGCCGCCAGTGTCACCCGCGCGGCTGTCGGCACAGAGCCTGTTGGGGTCACTGGCCCACGGACCCAGCAGGTGGACGGATGGACGACGCTCCGTGACTTACACAACATTACACAACATAACGAAAACATGATTGCTTGCTTACTGGTCACAGCATGATGCTTCAGGTGAGGACAGTCACTCTCAAGGACAGTCAACGGACGGCTGTCAGTCCGTTAACAGTGCCGCTGTAGGAGCTGCCGCACGCCGTCACGCCGGGGGTCCTGGACCGTGCTGGCCATGCCGGAGGCGGTGTGGTACAGAGCGGTGGCCGTGCGAATTAGGTGGTACAGAGCGGCAGGTGTGCCAGTCTAGGGGTACAACGGTCGGCTGAGCAGAGCCCTTTGCGGTTCTGCTGCGTCGATCAATTGGTGGGGCGCCGCCAGGCCCTGCAAGAGCTGCGGGCGGCTGCCACAAATCAGCATGCGTGTCACAGGGGTCAGCTGCGCGCGTGATCGTCGCGCCTCTTTCTGGGTGCATGATGCCTTGATGATAATGTCATGCACGAGCGTGCATTGCGGGGGCGTGTGTGTGTGTGTCACTGTGTATGTGTGTGTGTGTGTGTGTGTGTGTGTGTGGAGTGTGTGGGTGCGTGTGTCGAATCTCAGCAGCTCTTGTGAATGCATCGTGTCGCTGTGTGCAGGTGTGCCATGTGGGCGTGTGCGCTCACGGCAGCTTGCTTGCAGTGCAAACCAGCAAAGGCGGCGCCCAGAGGCGCGGCGGCGGCGCAACAAGGGGGACAACCCAACCAGGGATGACCAAGGAGTCACAGTAGCGAAGCACAAAAGTCCAAGATAAATTGCTCGTAGCGCTAGGGTCGGAGGACCCCTGAGGCAGCACCTCATGTGCCGTGTGCCGGTTGCTGGATCACTTGTGTGGCGCCCACGCAGCGCCCGCCGCCCAGCCGCGCCGCCCCAGCCGCAGCAGCGCTGCCTTTCGGCCTTACAGCAGAGCGCGCCGCGGGCCCCGCGTGCCGCGCGGCCGCGAGGCTCGCGGCCGCCCTCACGCGGACGCGTGAGACAGGCCGTTCCCGGCCGCACCGCACGCGTCCCCGTTACTCTCGCAGCTGCTGCCGTTGGCCTCGGCCGCCCCATTGATGTCCTCGCGCGATCCCGACGCCGTCAGGCCCGCCAGGCTCCCGACAGAGTCTATCGTCGGCATCCCAGGCCCCCCCTCCCGTCCCACCCCCGCGCCGCCGCCGCCGTTGAGCGGCGGCCGCGGCAGCAGATCGTCGAGGCTGGTGCGGGGGGAGATGGCGGCGGCGGCGAAGGCCTCCGACAGGGACTCGCTCATGGTGCGCTTTGCCGCGACGCCGGCGGAGTGGCGGACGAAGTCCTGCCCGAGCTCAGCCTCGAGCCGCTTCTGGGGTCGGTTGGCAGGTGGTTCGGTTGGTGATTGGGTTTGGTTGGTGGTTGAAGTTGGTTGGTAGGCTGGTTGGCATTTTGGTGTGTCATGCTGTTGGCGATCAAAATAACTCCAACTTGGATCGATGTTGGAAAGATTGACAGTCTGTACAGTCGTGCAGCGGTGGGCCCGAGTCCCTTGAAAGTGACGGCCCTGAAGTGGACCGTTCCGGCGGGGCAAGCGTGTACGTGGGCAATCACGGGTGAGGGGAGGCTGCCCTGGCTCGCACCCCACGCGTCCTGGCGTGCGCCGCCACCTGCCCGCCCCCCCCCACACACACACACACGCGCTGCGGTGAGTGGCACTCACCTTGTAAAGGGGGAAGGGCGAGAAGAAGGCGCCCGCGAACGCGCGCCGCATGGCGCCCGCGGCTGCGACGCAGTGCGGCGTTGAAGGGGTTTGTTGGGGATGGGTTAGGTTGTGCGGGGGGTTGCATGGGCATGAGCCTTGCACTCTCTAGGCCGAACTGGCAGCCAGCGGCCGACGTAACGCAGTCGTCGACCGCCTGTGGCTGGACCAGCTGACTCGCTAGCCCGTGCGCGAGGGCCGGGGCGGCCCGCGCGAAGCATCCCCCCCGCCCCCTCGTCGCCCCATTTGCGGCCGCGCAAGCCAACGCCCGTATTGCGGCCGCGGGGCGGGCGCCGGCCGAGCCCTCACATGGGGCCGCGTCCTTGGGCGATACCACCATCTCCAAAAACACAAAGTGGTCCGTGAGGGCCCGCGCCTCCCCGAACGCCGCCTCGGCCTCCTCCAGCGAGGTGGCGCGCAGCACCTTTATAAAAAGGGGGGATCCGGAGAGAGGTCAGGGGGCTTTCTTGTGGGGCTTAAGGATCAAGAATCAAGGATCCAAATCTAAACCCCCCTCAACCCTCAGCTTCACCGCCGGAAATCGTTGCAGGATCGCGCGGAGGCGGCCGCCCCGCTGTTCCGCCGCATGCAGGAAGGCCGATGCAGACGGGAACCGGCTGAGCGCATGAGGCGAACGGGCAGGCAAGCAGGGGCGGCTGATTCTTGAGGGGAGGGGGGGGGAGGTGGGGGTGGCCCACCCGGCCCAGCAGCAAGCGTCACGGCTTGCTGCACGTGCTTGCACTCCCCCCTCTTTCCCGCTTCTCCCGCACCTTGTAGCGCCCGTGGCCGTTGCACATGGCGGCGGCGACGGCGGCGTAGTCCCAGCGGTTCACATAGTTGTAGGCTGCGGCGGCAGGCGGTCAGGGGGGGGGTCAAAGGCGGTCAACGGGGCGTTCAAGGGGCCGTGAAGGGTCAGTGGGATGGCGGTCAGGGAGTGGTCAAGGGCGGCCAAAGAGGCCCAAATCTAAGGGCTGATGCATCGTGGGCAGGGGGCGGCTGACACGGCTGGTCAAGGGCTGCCATCGACGTGTTGCAGGGCCGCAGCGGAGCCCTTACACGGCTGACTCATCAGAGGGTGACTGAACACACTTGGAAAAGTAGCCGCATGAGGGCCGTGCAGAGCCGCGGGGCCACTACGAAAAGCGTAGCGGACCGCCTTGACTTGAAAACAGTGCAATGTGTCAACACATCTGGCGCGCTCACATGCGTGTATGATGGGGCTCAGGTACCGCTCCACCACGTATCCATCGTTGTTGACCACGACCACGACCGCGTTTGACCCGAAGCGCGAGAACGTGCCGATCTCCTGCGCGGTCATCTGCAGGCCGCCGTCGCCCTGGATTACGCACGCGCGAGGTTGTGCGACGAGGACGGGGGTGTGGGGTGTTCTTGATTTAGGGTGCAGGGCACGGGATCACTTGAGGGTTTGAGTAGGGGTTGCCTAGGTTGGCGGGAAGGCACTGCAGGGGGCTTGCTTTCGAGGGCACTGCCGGCGCAGCGGGAGCCGGGCGCACGTTGTGGAGGGCACGGGTAAGTGTGCACACATGCAGACCAGGACAGGGATACCTCCGCAAAACATGGAACGCATGTGTTTGTTCCAAACAAAACCTGTGCAAATCAAATGAGTTCCAGCCGCAGGCATAGTACCCACAATGATGATGACGGTCCTGTTGCCGGTCTTGGTGGCGGCGCCCAGGGAGAAGCCCAGGCCACAGGGCAGCGCAGGCCCGATGTTGCCGGCCAGGAACTGCGCGGAGGTGGTAGATAGCACGCGCGCGCGCGCGCGCGTGTGAGTGTGTGTGTGTGTGGAGGGGGGGGGTCAGGTTGCTTGATGCGCGTGTGGTGTGTGGAGGGGGTTGCTGCGCGTGTTCATTGTGTGCGGGGTGATTTGCGTCTTGTGTGTGTGTGTGTGTATGTGTGATTGCGTGTTGTTGTTTCAACACACAGACTTTGCTGGAGGGGCATGCAGCAAAGGCAGCCTCTCAGCAGGGACCGTGCAATGAACGTGCTCCCACCCCGCCCTGATGTGACAGCGCCTGGGCGGCTGCGCGACCCCGACCTTCCGCCCGCCCCCTCCCCCAAATCAAAACTCTCCGACCCCTTCGTCCCTCCTCTTTCCCCGGCCGCCCCTCTACCCGTCACAACCCCCTACACACTCACACACACGTCTAAGCCATGAAATCTGTGATATTCTAAGCGGTCCTTCCCCCGCCCTTCTCACCTGGCACTCGTATGACGTCCCCGCCGCGAGCCTGAGGCGCCCCGCCCGCCACAGGGCGTCGCCAGTGTCAACTGGCAGCGGGGGTTTGGCGGGTTCGGAGGCAGGGCAGCCGGCGCCGCTCGTCAAGGCGGCAGGCCGGTCGCGACGCAGATGGATGCAGCAGCACCAGCAGCCGGCGGCGCGAGCTGCGGCGAGAGCGCCTCTCCGGCAGGCTGGGCGGGCGGTCGGCACGTGCGGTGCACAGGCGCGGCTTTCTGGGTGGAGACGGCGGCGGCGGCAGCCGAGGACGCAGGTTTTCAACGGGCGCACTCTACGCCTGCCTCTCACCGATGAGGTCATACCCTGGGGTGGACACCAGCGACTCTACCAGGTCGTATACCTGGGGTGGCAAGGAGGCGCGATTTGGGTTCAAGAGGCAGCGAAAGGTCAAAAAATGCGAATTATCTGCGATACGAGCCAGTCCCGCACCCGAGAGGCTTGGCGTCGTGGCACGCCGCTGCAGGCAAGCGCAGTGGCGCAGTCCACAAAACAGCGCAGCTATCACCCCGCCTGACCCGACGTGAAGCAGGCCCCAAGCCCCATCACGGCTTGACACCTGCTGGCACGCGGGCGCAACGCTGGGGAGGCAGGGCCGGGGCCGTCCGCGCCCGCCGCACCTGCTGTGTCTTGAGGGGGGCGTCGTCTGGGGCGGTGAACTCGGGGCCGTTGGGCGGCAGCTGGGGGGGCAGGGACGGCCGCGACCTGCGCGCGGCAGCACAGGCGGCCAGGAGGGTCCAATCCTGGGCCCCGCGGCAGAGGGAGGCGGGCCATCTGACAGCTGAGCGATTCCCCAACCTCACCCACAAAAGCAGCGCACGTGACAGGTGGGGTGGGTTGAGAGCAATGCTGACGTGCCCGCTGCCACCTGGGCGCTCAGCGCTGAAGCGCATTGCAGGGTCCAGCCGAGGTGAGACCCAGGGCAGTGGCGCAGCAGTCAAGTCCCGGTCAAACCAGTGAAGTAGCAGCCCAGTCAACCCCGGTCAAACGCGCGGTCAACCAACGCACTTGAAGTAGGCGTAGGCCCCCGGGTTGGGCACCACCTGGGCCGCGAGCGCGGGCAGGAGTCGCGAGGTGGGCACCGTCGTGAAGGCTCGCGTGAGGCCGAGCACGGCGCGGCTCTTGTAGAGGATCACGCTCCTCTCGTGGGTGGCGTTGTCCGGGACGCTGGGCCAGTTGAACTCGTGGAAGTGGACACCTTGGGAGGGTTCAGGGTTTAGGGTTCAGGGGTACAAGGGGTTCGAGGGTTGAGGGATATTACATGGGATTGGCGGCAACTGGGCAGTAAGTTTGGCACGGCAGTGCCTTTTTTCTGGTGTGTTGGATGGTCAGTTGTGGGGACGGCTTGTTGTGGGAGAGGGAGCGGGACTCTCAAGCGGGCCGTGAGTGGGCAAAAGGATCTCCTTCCCCTGTGTGGCAGAGGAGGCTCTCCGCAGCAGGGGTGTCGCCTTGGGCCCGCGGGCGAGGGTGAGGGGCAACATGTGATTTGGGGTGGGTGGGTTGGGGTGTGATTAAAAAGCGGCGCAGTACGTCAGTCACAGCGCGCCCTCACCTATGAACACCAGGGCGTCGGAGGCGGCGACAGTCTCGGCAATTGAGGCCGGGTCAGAGAAGCCCTTGAAGTAGACGCCTGGTCAATGGGTGTGCATGTGGCGTGTGTGTGGTGTGTGTGTGTTTGTGTGTAGAGTGTGAGTGCGTGTGCGCGTGTGCGAGCGCGCGTGCTTGCACGCGCACGCGCGCACGCGTGTGTGTGTGTATGTGTGCACGAGCGCACGTAGTTGCAAGTGTGTGTGTTATGTTTGTTGTGTGTATTTGTGCCTCTGTGTGATAGTTGGCATGACAAGCTGATTCCAGCTATGAGCCGAGTGTGCTTTTATCAAGCATAGCAGGATTAGGAATAAACTTAGGATGGTTACACAATTAGGAGAGGCAGCAGCAGCAAGAAGGCTTCCCCCACACACACGTGCTTTTCACACTCATTCACAAACGCATACACACACACACTCACAACACACACACACACACACACACACACACACACACGCGCGCGCGCAACCCACCTATGAACTGGGGGTGGTCCTCCGGGAACAGCCCCTTGCCGTCCGCCACCACAGTCACCGCGTAGCAGCTGGCCTCTGCAAACCGCAGCACCTGGTCACCGTAGTGCCTGGGGCGGGAAGTCGCGCGGGCGACGTGTATGTGGGCGGAACGAAGGCGGACGGGCGTAGAGGGGCCGCCTTTGCGGCGTGGCACGCCCCTCCTGCGCAGCTGCTGCGGCTGCATTCCCGTTTTTGAAGTGCTAGGAACTCTCAACCTTGCGAGCAGCAAGCAGCTGCTTGCCACTCAAGTTGTCCAACAGATTCCGTAAACTAGAACACGCAATACGGCCCAGACTTGCTCCGTACCGCCCCGCTGCGCCCCTGCTCGCCCCGACCTCGCTCCGCCCACCTTGCGCGCCGCCCGACCACGATCAGGGGCCGCTTCTTCTCTGCCAGCCACCCCGCGATCGCCGCCGCCGCCGCCGCGAGGCTCCCCTCGTTGCAGTCGCGCACAGGGCGGGCCAAACCATCGAGCGGCTCGCCGCGGCGGCCGAAGGAAGGGTGGGGCAGCAGAGCGACGTCCCTAGGGTCCGGGGCGAGGCCGGGTGGGGGGAGTCACGTGGTTGGGTTGGGACAGAACAGGGGCCCTGCCGCCGCACGTTGCAGGCGTGAATGGTTGGCTGCCGCGTCCTTGCACACGGTGGTCAATGTGTGATGCCGCCGCCGGGGCAGACGGGTGCGAGCCCAGCAGGCAGACGAGCCCCAGTTGAGCTGAATTGTCCCCGTGTGCGCACACCGCCGCCCGCCGCCGCGCCCGGTCAAACGCGGCGGCGGTCAAACGGTCAAACGCACACGCGCGCACCTGCAGACCTCCAGCAGCACAGGCTTCCTGTGTGCGAGGGTCTTGAGCAGCGCCTTGTCAACCAGGTAGCGCGCGTCACTCAGTGACCGGAGGATCGTCTGGTACACCTGGGTGGGCGCGGCAGACACACATCACAATTGAGAATTTTCTCTCTCCTGCATATCCTCATCCTCGCTCGCAACTGTCGTTTTTGCTCGCAACTGTCGTTTAAACGGCAGTTGCGAGCGAGGACGAGGATGAACAGGGTGTTGGTGTTTTGGGGGCTGGAGGGTGAAGGAGCCAGGGGGGAGGACAAGCATCAAGGCTCCACGGCCCCAGGGGCTGCCGCCGCGGCGGCCTTCTCACCGTTACGGGCTTGTAGCAATCGACCTGACACACGGGGAGGCGCAGCAGCAGGTTTCGTCGACCGCGGTGATTGCGAGCGGGGGCGCGTCCGGCTTGCGTTATGGTCGCTCGCATCGGCCCGTTGAAGCCGTGAAGAGGCGCCCCGCGACGAACGCGGCACCCCAGGCGTGGCGGCGGCGGCCCCCACCCCCCAACGGCCGCCCACACGCCCCTATATCACGCCCCCTGTTCTCGTCCGCCGCACAGGCCCGTCCTCCCTCCTGTCCGTGCCGCCTCGGGGCGCTGCTGCTGCTGCTGCTGCCGCCAATTTAACGAAGCACTCCCTGCTTCGCCCCTTGAGATCGGCCCGCGGCCCGCTGACACGGTGGTCCAGATCAAGGTCAGGGTCAAAATCAGGGTCAAGATCGCACCTCCTGGCTGATGTCCTCGAGGTTGCCGAGGCTGTGGTGTGGGGCGCTGGAGGTCGCGTACTGAGACGTGTTGGGGACGCCTTGGGGAGATTGTGGGGAGTTGAAGGGCCACGGCGCGTTGGATCGGCGCACATGGCAGCCGGCAGGGACGC